TTTACGATTGCCGGGAACTACGAAAAGCGGGGGACCACTGTAATGTAAATCCAATTATTCCGTTCCAGACACCCAAAAGTATTAAAAAAAAATTTGTTTACATGAAATATGCATTTACCTACACAGAAAACAATGAGACATGCAGAATAAAACAATAATAAAATGACACTCGCCTTTATTGAAGACTTGATGTACAGAAGACGGGAGGAGGGGAGAGGATGGAGGAGTTACTAGTGTTTGGAAGGGGGATTCCCTTCCATAAAGACTTCAGGTACCAAGTCCTTTTCTGGGGTTGCTTCCCTTCTTTGTTTTTTAATGCCACTAGGACCAGCTTGAGAGTCACTGGACCCCTGTCACTCAAAAAAGTGTTCCAGAGAGGTTTGTTTCTGGCATATGTTAGGAATTGTGGTGGAGGCAGGGGAGTGTGTTGTGAGACAGGACAAGATAGTCCTTCAGTATGACATTAATATCAACTCTGTGGCTTATTTTTCTAGCACAATTCATCTAATATGGCATAATAAACAATATTAATAACATAGAAACATGATATGTACTCTAGAATGAATAAAATATGTCATTAATATGTGACGAGTGTTGCTGTGTTGTTTGTTGTTGGGTGTATAAGGGCCACTGAAAGATAAGCCTTACATAGTGGTGATGGTGGCAGCAGAGGCAGATGGTGTTGTCAATGTTGCCCTATATACCTCTAACAACATTGGAGTAGTCAGTTTTGGGCTGTCCTTTTCCTATCAATTAATTGCTTAACTTCCTTGCTACACTATTAATGCTACACTTTATTGCTGGCTCACGCTATAGCCTTATCGACTCCTGCTGCTTTAGTATCATACATATTGCAGAATCACTGAAGAAGGCACATTCTCTCCTCTCTCTCAGTCCTTTACCAAAGGGCTGGCTGGCACTAGGAACTTCCTTTGGGCCCATGGTAGTTTATTTAGCAGTTGCAAGCACTAAAAATAATGGAATAATATGAAATGTATCGTATGAATGTATGGGATCATTCTCACTGACTGATAAACAATGGCACACTGAGTGTTGGGCCGCTGTTGCTGTGCAGACGTCCTCAGGACGAATGACTATTACCAGGCTCAATGACATCACCAAGCCAATATTTTGACGAAAAAACATTACTGTTTCCGAATATTATGAAATCTGACGACTACGAAATCCGTGGATCCACTGTATAGCTGAAGGAACAGAGCGTTGAAGTGAGGATGAGAACTCTTACAAGTATGTGAATGTTGTTGATATATCAATAGTTCATTCAACACTTAGATGGCCTTCTTGACAGTGTACTGAAATTTCAGCTGTTCAGAAGAAGTCAGGGTATACCCTAGTGTTTCTCCTAGTTTTATGGGCAAATTTTCTAGCTCTAGAAAATTAGTAGACAAATTGATTGTGCTCAATTACAGGCTAGTATTGGGAATCTCTCCTTCGCCAGTTTTGATTTGATCGATCAAATCATGGTGATAAAAAAGTACTGTATGCATTGTTACCAGTCAAGATGCTAGTGACATTAATACACGACATTTAAAAAGCCTTCCCATCACTGACCTCAGTTAGGAAACATCTTGTGTTACTCTTAATAAAATATTTACTCCTGCTCATTAACTTCATACATACTTGGAACACTGAAATGAAATTTGATACTAAAGCTCCCTACTATGAGGAGACAGATATGGTAGGTTTGAGTCAGTGAATCACAGCTAATTGTCATAGTAACTTAAGTAAAAAATGGGATTTTCTCCATGGTGATTTGGCTTGAAACTTTCCTTGTCCATCTGACTTAAATACGTAATTCTTTATTTTTTATCAATTTTCCTTCATATCACATGATATTACAGTGGAACCTTGGCTTTCGTTTGCCCTGGTTTTTGTTGAATTCGGTTTTCGATGATTTTTTGTCAAAATTTTGTCCCAGTTTTCGTTCATCACCTCGGTTTTCTTTGAGTTGATGGTGGTCCACCGTACTGAACGTGTCCGCCCGCACCCACACAAAGCATTGCACACGTTCTGAGTCAGTCTGGCTTTGTTTCTTGTTGAGTGTGCATTACCCTGAGTGTTCATCCGAAACATTTCGTAATAATCCATTGCTTTTTGTGCTTGTTTATAGAGTGCGACTCCTAAATAAGCCACCATGGGGTCAAAGAAAGTTTTGAGTGCTAGCCCTTTGATAAAGAAAGCGAGAAACACTATAGAATTCAAGAAAGAACTTGTAGAATGAGTTGCAAAGTTTTGTGGAGAAATATCACTACCACCCTTTACAAAGGTAAACGGTGGTAGTGATTGTGGTGGAGGGTGGTAGTGATGGTGATAGAGGGTGGTAGTGATGGTGATAGAGGGTGGTAGTGATGGTGATAGAGGGTGGTAGTGATGGTGGTAGAGATAACCTCTCCTCCCTCTCCTCTCCTCGCTGTCTTACATACACCAACAAGAGTCTTCAATAAAGGTAAAAGTGATGTTAAATGTTCATTTATCCATTTCCTTAGTCCTTTATATTTTTTCTCATTGTTTTCTGTATGTAAAACTATAGTTATTCTCTAAAATGTATTTCTTGTTACTACTTTTGGGTGTCTGGAACAGATTAATTGGATTTACATTATTTCTTATGGGAAATATTACTTCAGTTTTTATCGAATTTGGTTTTCGTCAGATTCTCTGGAACGAATTAATGATGAAAACCGAGGTTCCACTGTACAACTTAACGCAAAATAGTACAGATGGTTAAAGTTTAAATGGTAATCATCCCTGTTCTTTGTGATCTTTGAGCTTCTGAAGTTTCTTGATTTTGTTATTGCTACTTCATGACTATTTTCATACTTTTGTGACACTAATTGTTATAAAATAGAAATCATATAAAAAATTGATGGTGTTAATTATGACTTCTATGGGACTCTTGGTTTGCTGAAGCTTTGTGTAGTTTTCCATATTTTTGTTTTGACAGCATTAAATCAGAGGAGACTGAATAGATCTTGTCTACAGAGTTGTTTTCTTTATCTTAAATATATTTTACCTTCTTAAGTGCTTCCACATTTAATTTTATGTATTTGTTATAATTTAATTTTCTGCTGTGGAACTCATTAGGTAGAAAATAGCATTAACTTGATTTTCATAGTCCTGATAAAGTCTGGGTACTGAGTTAATCCCTTGTTTACCTCTTTTCTCCAGTTATTACCTAATTGTAGAGTTGCTGAGGCACCAACTGTTACCTGTGCTGCCCACCCAGTCTAATTATCAACTTGCCTCCATGAGATCTCTCCTATACATCATAGATTATTCCCGCACCTGGCACTGTATTCTGCTGGGACCCTTGAGAGCTTTCCAACTGTCATCTGGATTTGTAGATGTACCTAGTAATTTTCCAGGTTATCTTGAATGGTTGACTTAGGGACACAGTGCACCTGACTTGCTCTTACAGAACATTTGCAGTACTTAAAGAACAAGAAGGCACAATACTGTGACTGGAATAATGCACAAATAACCTACACATAGAAGAGAGAGAGAAATGCTTATGACGACATGAATGGTCCAAGATGAATCGAAATGTCACCATAAGCTTTTCTCTCTCTTCTGTGTGTGGGTTAGTTGTGTATTGCATTATGTAATTTTGATAAATGACCAAAAAACCTCTGGTGATTTTCTTATACAGTGACCTCATGTCAGGTGATCATCAGCAAATGGGTTATGTATACACTTCCAGTGTTTTTGAAATGCCTTTCAGCTTTCAAAATGCAAGTAATTAACATATGCATAAATTAGTTTTTATTATTGGCTAAATGTTTTTGAAATGAATAATTAAATAAACAGATTTAGTAATTAGCTAAATAAATACATTGTACAATTTGGAATATTTTTCTGTCATTCCTTTTTTTTTTTTTTTTTTTTTGTCACTATAAACTCTAGGGGTTGGGCATCACAATTGAACCTCTATGTCTTACTAGCTTTCCAGTCAGTGCCATTTTTTTCATCCTACTATTGTGTTTTTTCCCTCAATGTTCTCTTTATTTTTCTCTTTCAAAACTGTTGGTTACCTTCTCATTAGTTCAGGCACTTTTTTTTCATTCCATTTTTGCTAAGACAATAATTTTAAACTTATCTGTTGATACTGTAATATTCTCCAGATAGTTTATAGAATTTGCCTCATTTTTAGAGCTGTATGTCTCGTATGTACTTGGCTACATATAAGAGTTAAAATTGGAGTATACTAACACTTTCTTACCATAAATGGTGATATAACTTGTCTTCACAATCCTTCCCAGTTTTGTGGTCTCATTTCTCCTTTACACCACACTGTCCTTTTCTGTGCCCTTCAAGGAAGGTGCTTTGAGGCATATGAAGTGCTCTTGATCCAAGAAATTAAATATATAGTGTCCTTCTCTTCCTTTGATCAAGTTTGATTGCTGTATTATCTCTGAGAGTTTAGCGTGCCCCCATGAATGTACTGTAATACTAATATCCTTTTCTCTTATTTCATTGTGGCATGCTTTCCTCATAATGATACATAATATCTCAATTCTTTAAAGTGCAATTGTAACTTATAAGTTCTATTAATGTATATTCTATATAGTTCATCAAAATCTACTTGTCAGTTCATACCAGCATTTTGTCTTAAGTCTTCTGTGACACACTTGTCTACTGCATTACATAAAATTGTCACTGTCTCTGTTTATTCCAAAATTTATTTTTTCTGGTATAATCTAAATATTTCTTTTTTGATGAAAATTTAACAATCTAGCTGGCATATTACTTGAAGAAGTGAGTAAAGCATTTTGGACACAATCTAGATTTAGCCATTTTGTTTATTTTTTTAAATTTTTTGTTCATTACTCATATGAATTAACATGAAGGAACATAAACTGTTTATAGTTTCTGGTTTTCTACATATAATTTTGTAATTAATTTACACTAAGTTTGGAATATTGCCCTTACAGCATACATAAAAATCTAAGGAGGTACTATAATATGCAAGAGGTATTTTACAGAAAGGGAAGTCTGACTTAACTGCAGAAGTGGATGATATATCAGGAGAGATGCTGGAGGAGGAGGGAAGAATGGTAAGTGCTTTCATGCGCAGTTTATGAGACCGTGGAAGGAAGTATGGAAGAACCGAGTGAACGGAGTAATTTAAAAAATAATAGATTCGTAAGCAGTGGAAAGTATATTTGAGAGACTGCTTTACTTGTTACTTTGGATGTAATGTACATATGTAATAATTGCAGATCACATTTACCATTTTACTAATGCATGTGTTATCTAGCTGATTCCAAACTAGGTGCCATTTCTCCATGAAAAAATTGAACTGTTCATAAGTTTTTCAGCATTACTTTTTTTTAATGAAAAGAAATTACAAGGTTTATATGAATTACTGAATCTCCCCCAAACCATGAAAACATTTTGTTCTAGATATATCAGATGAAGCAAAAAAACAGTATTCCAAACACACAATTCTTGCATTGAAACTTAATTAGAACATTATTATTATTTATTTTTTATGTATACAGAAACCCATAATTTAAAAAAAAAATTCAATAATTCATTGTTTTTAAATGTACTTATTTTGGGTAAAAAGCACAATTTACTCACATAACTTATATAAAATATCAAGGTCATCCCTGTCTGTAGTGTTATCTACAAAAAGCAAGATCACAATAAAATGTGACATGGTTGTTTGTACAGTGGTACATCATTTTTCTTCCATGTAAGGTAGATAAACTAACAATTCATGTTTTTATATACCGTGGAATCTGAGATATCATGTGTCCAAGATTGTGTTATACGATAAATTTCAGTTGAAATGTTGCACCCAAATCCAAGTTCCATAGGAAAGAGTGTTCTATAGTTTAAAAAAATAAGTTGATAAGCAGTGCACAAAGACAATTACACTTTAATGATGTATTTTCATGCCTTTAAGAGTCGTCTACAGTAAATTTTAATTAAACAGACCTCAATTTAACCGCCTGTGGAAATATTGAACAACATTCGCTAGGTCACTTTATTCTAAAATTTTCTGTTATTGTTATGATAATAACAAAAGAATCTCTTCTCTGTCCACCACAATCACTCTTACGTGCCACCTGCTTCACCCTATTAGTCCTTTAAATCATGGGTTTACTGTACCTTCTCTACTTGTTTATACAGTACAGTAAGTAGACCATCAGTTAACACACACTATTAACACTTTTTGATATAGCACAGTTGAAAAATTGCAACATACTGTATTTTCTATGAGTACACTGTGTTTATCATTGAGCAATGAGTAAATTTAGGAGAAAATAGTTAAAAGGCAATACATACTCATGACAGCAAGTAACAGTTAACTCTTTCAGGGTTTCCGACGTACTAGTACGGCTTACGCACCAGGGATATTGACGTACTAGTACGCGTAAATTCTAGCGCCTTCAAATCTAGCAAGAGAAAGCTGGTAGGCCTACATATGAAAGAATGGGCCTATGGGGTCAGTGTGCACAGTATAAAAAAAATCCTGCAGCACACAGTACGTAATGAGAAAAAAAACTTTGTGTTAATGGTTTAAAACAGCGAATGCACTGTATTTTCATATGGTATTTATGGTTGTATTCTAGTTTTCCTGGTCTCATTTTATAGAATGGAAGACATATTACAAAAATTGAGATGATCTTTGATTGGTTTCACAATGAAAAGTACCTTGAAATTGAGCTCAAAGTAGCAGAAATGTTCGATTTTTAGCAAAGTTCAAAAGTAAACAAATCATGCCACGCATCTGATACACATCAACTGGCGAGTCTAATATTCTTTCACAAGTGCGCTCATATTATTTATACCATTTCTACACTAATGCAGTAGTTTGCATAACAGTAAATCTTCTATTTTTTGTGAGAATAAAAATTCAAAGTGGAAAGCAAAAGAAATGTAAGAGGGGCCTGGGGACTTGACTAATGAACAGAGGAAATGTTATTTTAGCACCAGGAATGTCTGTCTTGATTATTCTGGACCCTATTTGGAAACTGGCATGTTTTGAAATTTGTGAAATTGGCAAAATTGCTAATTTCTGACCACTTTATTAATAGTTGAAATCAGTAAATGGGTGGATCCTTGTACTCATTCAATAGAAAAAATGGAGTTCTAGTGAAATAGTTATGATTTTTGTCAACTAGTGCACTGGAATTGGCCGAAAATAGGTCTCAAAGTGGGCAAAATTGCCAATGTGTAAACATCGCCGAGACCGCTAACTTCGCAAGAGCATAATTCCGTAAGTTTTCCATCAAATTTCTTACTTTTGGTGCCATTATGATTGGGAAAAGATTCTCTATTTTTTCATAAGATTTTTTTTTTTTTCTGAAAAATTTTCAACCCTGAGAACAAGTTTAGGAGAGGGCCTCTCGACCCTGAAAGGGTTAATTTCACTATAACTGCTCATTCATGTGCTTTTAACAGTCATTTACTTTAGATGCCTTCATAGAAATGTTGAATGTTAGTGAATGATAAAGTGTGAAAAGTACAGTATTAAATGAGGAAGTAAAGGGATGATCTTGTGGCACTGCCTGGAATGTCTACATTGTTTATTTTTCACTATACATAAACTGGTATTATTTTTAATTTTGTGTAAAATTGGTTAATTACTGACTTTTGTGCGCTTTATAGAGTAGTTGTAATAGTTGAATTAGCAGTTTCTTACATTCATCAATAGAACAGAAGGCATACTAGCAAAATAGCTAAGAATTTGGTTGAAAGAACCAGTGGAATAGACTTAAAATAGGACTTAAATTCGGCTAAATCGCTGTTGCATAAGTTGCACCCAGACTGCTAACTTTGTGCCTGCATAATTCCATAAGTTTCCATCAAATCTCATAATTTTGGTGTCATTACCTTCAGAAAATGATTCTCTACCACTTCAAAAGAATTTTTTTTTAACCCTTTCAGGGTTGACAGGCCCTCTCAGAGACTTGTTCTCAGGGTCAGCCAAATTTAAAAAAAAAAAATTCTTATGAAAAGATAGATAATCTTTTCCCGATCATAATGACACCAAAAGTATGAAATTTGATGGAAAACTTAAGGAATTATGCTCTCGCAAAGTTAGCGGTCTCGATGATATTTATGCATCGGCGATTTTGCCCACTTTGATCCCTATTTTCGGCCAATTCCAGTGTACTAGTCGACAAAAATCATAACTGTTTTGTTAGAACTCCATTTTTTTTATCGAATGAGTACAGGAAACCACCCATTTACCGATATCAATTATCCAATACAGTGGTCAGAATTTAGCAATTTTGCCAATTTCACATAAATTTCAAAAGATGCCAATTTCTGAAAAGGGTCCAGAATAAACAAGAAAGACATTCCTGGCACTAAAATAACATTTCCCCTGTTCATTAGTCACATCCCCACGCCCCTCTTACATTCTTTTGCTTTCCACTTTGAATTTTTATTCTCACAAAAATAGATTTACTGTTATGCAGACTACTGCATTAGTGTAGAAATGGTATAATAATATCAGTGCACTTGTGAAAGAATATTAGACTCACCAGTTGACATATATTGGCTGCATAGCATGATTTGTTTACTTTTGAACTTTGGTAAAAATCAAACATTTCTGCTACTTTGAGCCCAATTTCAAGGTACTTTTCATTATAAAACCAGTCAAAATCATCTCAATTTCTGTAATAAGTCTTCAGTTCTATAAAATGAGACCAGGAAAACTAGAATACAACAATAAATACCATACGAAAATACAGTGCAAAGTTGCTGTTTTAATCCCAGAACACGGTCAAAGTTTTTTTTTCTCATTATGCACTGTGTGCTTCAGGATTTTTTTTGTACCATGCACACTGACCACTTTGACCCATTCTTTCATATGTAGTCCTACCAGCTTTCTCTCATTAGATTTGAGGGCGCTAGACTTTAGGCGTACTGGTACGTCAAAAACCCTGGTGTGTAAGCCGTACTAGTATGGCCGAAACCCTGAAAGGGTTAAAAGCAAATGCTGGGAGTAATATTAATTTTGAGGGGTCTGGACAGTGAAAGGGTTAATTTCAGGGGTCTGGACAGTGAAAGTTTTAACCCCTTCAGGGTCCAAGGCCAAAATCTGAAGTGGTGCCCCAGTGTCCAAGAATTTAAAAAAAAAAATTAGTTATTTTTTCTAATGAAATGCTTGAGAAACTTTTTGTGAAGGTAATAATACAAAAAGTACGAAATTTGATGGAAAATTGACAAAATTATGCTCTCGCAAATTTTGATGTGTCAGCGATATTTACGAATCGGCGATTTTGCCGACTTTGACTCCCATTTTAGGCCAATTACATTATTCCAGTCGACCAAATTCTTAGCTATTTCACTAGTATTACTTCTATTCTATCGATTGAGCACAAGAAATCGCCAAGTCTACAAAATAAAGTGATCGGAAGTTGGTAATTTGGCCAATTTAACACAAAGTTCAGAATATTCCAATTTCAAAATAGGGTCCAGAATAAACAATGTAGGTATTCCTGGCACTAAACTAACATTTCCTCTGTTCATTAGTTATGTTTTGAGGCTTTACAAATAGATTCCATTTTGATTTTTTATTCACATAATGAATTTTTATTCACACCAAAAAATAGAAGATTTACTGTTATGCAATATTGTAATAATTGTATAAATATCATCACCACATTTGTGAATGTATATTAGACCCACGAGCTGGCGTGTATTAGACGTGTGAGGTCGTTTGTTTACTCTTGAACATCAGCAAAAATTTAACATTTCTGCTAATTTGAGTTCAGTTTCAAGCCATTTCCAGTGCTAAAACCAATCAAAATCATCTCTGTTTCTGTAATATGTCTTTCATTCTATCAAATGAGACCAAGAAATCGCAAATACAACTTTAAAAAAACATACGAAAAAATACTGCAAAGTCGCTGTTTTAATCGAAAATCATGGTCCCAGTGTTTTTTCTCTCATTATACACAGTGTGCTGCAGGATTTGTTTTATGTGGTGCACACATACCACATAGCTGTATTCTCTCATATCTAGGCCCAAATGTACCACTCACAGTTCATCAGAGTGAGCTGAGCTCATGACGTAGATCTACTGTTTGGA